GTGCTTTTTGACTGTCATTTATGAAATGGCCACATCCTTCAGGACACTGCTGTTCATTATTTATTGCATTTTGCAAAGCTAAGTATGGAGAAGATGCAACCTAGGAACCTCTGGAAACTAAAGGAGGCATGAGGCGTTGTTGATTTGGTTTGTTTTTCCCCTCTGAAAACTTTTTATTGAAAAGCAAGTAGGACAGACCGAAAAGGGAACATCCCCTTCATCGTTGTGATACTGGTGAATTGAGATATTCTGGGAGAAAGAGTTTAAACAAAGGGATGTGCTGGAGTGTAATCATACTGTGTGAATTGGAAGTTGATAGCAAAGAGTTGTCTACAAGTAAGTGACTTCACAACATTTCCATCAGTCCAGGACATTGAGTATCCCTGCATGCTCCAAGCCAAGTGTTGGCTTGTTTGGGGGCTGGGAATTGCACTGTTGGAAATGACAGGCTGCCAAGCTGTTCTCACAGATACAGGCAATTTTTGCAGCGAGCCAAGAATTAAACTTTATAGCCAAGAGTTAAACCTTGTAAACCTGTGTCAAATAACAACCCTTTTGCAGTTCATATGCCGTTCATGCATTTGTACCATTAAAGAATAAGTCTTATTTGGAAATAGGTCTCAATTTTGAAATCTTCTAAATTTCCCTCTTTACATACTGTTCTTGCACTACAAGAAGGCATCATCTGCTGCTTTTAAAATGTACTCTAAGCAGTAAAACTTGAATAAGAAATGCTACATTAAGCTAATAAACATCTTTAGACCAGTGGGTCATGGCACTGAAAATGCCTGTTCATGAAAGCTCAAAATTCTTCAGCTTTAGAAACCCATGGAAGCACATAAATCACTCAAAATAAACCCAAAGAGAAATTGCCTCCCCTTCCCCACTGCTGCCCTGCTGTGGGAAAGACCTTTTGCTACCCCTGATTTCCCCCTGGAGTGAAATCACATCCACCATTCAATACAAAATTAATAAAGATATATGGAGCATGTTGAGCAAACACTGACATATCCCCAATGGTGAATTTACATCCCTCCATTCTGTTTAAAATTAATAAAGGAAGACAAGGCATACAAAACCAACACAGGAGAGCTGAGCTGAGCCCACCAAGGCTCAGCACTGAGGGCGAGGTTCTGCGCCGGAGTAAGCGGCTCTACGCATGAGGCAAATCTTAGGGTGGAAGTGCTGGTTCCCTTCCTTGGGCAGGTTCAGGAGGGCTGCCTGGCAGCATGCCCAGTGGATTTGTCATTCAGGAGTGGGAATTGCCTGAGCTCTTTGATGTGTTTGCAACATGTCTGTGACATTCCCTCCTTCCTGCAGGTGACGTGCAGGATAAAAGATGATGTTTCAATTGAAGTCTTGCTCAGCTGCATCCCACCTTCCACTTGCCTTTTGCCCTTCCCTCTCCCAAAGGCACACTCTGCTGTCATCAGCGTGCAGTTATGGGTCTGTAAAAATGTTCTGTGATCTGAACAGCCAGCCAAAGGCTTTGTGGTCTGTTGTGATGGACCAGGGATTGCTGGAGGAAGGGATTGAAGATACTCTGAATGTCTGTGGCATTCGCCCCCTTTAGAAAATTGCCTGATTTTATCATAGAAAATGGGTAAGCATCCTCAAACACTCCTCAGATAATTTGACTCCATGATTATTTGCTTCTCAGGTACCTCTTTATGGACTGGGAGGCCTGGCATGGAGGTCATATACCAGCAAGATGGGCTCTCATAGTTATCCTACAGAAATTAGATATATTCTCTTATACTCAAAGCAGTCAATAACCTCTTCTTTACCAGCACCTGTTACATCTGTACCCTTCAGAGCTGGGCCAGACCCCTCCACAAGTGCCAGCCATCGATTCAGCTGCAGAAGCTTCCCACAGCTGATCGTGAGCAGTTGGAAACTGTCAGTTTTCAAAATGTTTATGGCCACACATTTCTGAAGAGATGAGCTGTCTTTTGTTGCATGCTGGCTTCAGGTTAAGCTATTTTTTATCACTCTGATGTTTTGTAGACACCGCTGGTTACTCCCAGGTTTGCAGCATCAGCTTCTCTCACCAGTTCATGTGTATTTTATGAGCCCAGAGATGTTTTGGCAGAAAGTGGAGCTGTGCCAAAAAGTGTTGTTCCTGCTTTTCTTCATGCTTGCCTTTTTTTCTATACTTGCAGCATCTGAGGAAGGGGAATGCTATAGCTGTGGCAAGGAAAAGCTGCCCAAACTGCTTGGTAGAATGATGGCTTGTGTGCATATTTACAACTGTGCAGGAGCAGTGTGTCAACTGTGTGTCTTAGGCTCCTTACCTACCAACTCCTCACACTGCTTCTGAGAGAAATTGTGCCAGTCTGTGGTGGCCTGTTGGAGGTCTGCAGATGGTACTTTGGTTGCCACAAAAGTAGAATTTATTTGGGGACTGTCTTGCAAGGACTCCAGAGATTTTTTCAATCTTGATGTCCTGTGTGAGATCACACCAAGGCATCCCCCTTGTGCCCTGTGGGACAGACCCACAGTGTCCTCCCTCTGCCAGCACTTCAGTGGGTACAAGGCCAAGCTGCTAATCTACAAATTTCAGAAGCACATTTTGCAAGCTACGCCTTTTAGCTAACTTAAAGGTGAACTGCTCATTTGGATGAAGAACTGTGTTAGGTAGGATGAAGCTGTTGCAAGACAACATCTTCCTCCCAAGAAAATTCCTTTCTGTAGGCGAGTCTTTAGTCATCTTTGTAACCTTTGTCATCCTGTCCTCCCTGGGGAGTTTACTCTGTGACCTTTGCTATTCTACCAAGGCGCCTCATAAATTATTATTCTTTTAAATGGCACTTAGACTGTCGTCGTGACTGCTAGCCTTGAAGATTTGCAGTCTACTCTGTAATTTTGAGGGGGAAAAAATGGTTTAGTGACAGAAGAAATATTGTTCCTCACGATAAAACTACTTTTGTGTTTCATTTTCCACTCAAGTCATTCATATCCCTGTCACTAACCTCATTCAGGTCAAGGGCTTGAGGCAGAGAACGGGCATAATATTTTTGGTCAGACTGATGCGTCTGAATATTGCAAACATCTGTAATTTTGAATTGAAATGAACGTTGTGTTAAATCTTCAGGCAAATATTATCAAGACATAATAGATTACTGAAGTTTGCATTTCTTTTGGCAATTCAGACCAAGGCTCTGTCGACTGGTTATTCCAGACATTAATGAACCTGTTTACACAAAGGGAGCTGCTCCTTGTGGCTGCAAATTAGATCCTGGATTCTGCAAACTTTGTAGGAAATTCTGTGGGCCAAGTAGCTGAGATAATAATGAAAAAATTAATCAGGCACGCATTAAATGTGAAGCATGGAAGAAAACATCTGCAGCACTCGGTGGACATCTGGGTAACATACTTGCAGTGCTGTTTTGCCAGCTTACATCTGGAGTGGTTCATGAGAAGAGAGCAGATGCTAGTGTGAAATAGGTCATCATAGCAGCAGGGCATCAGAACAGAGGCATTTCTTTTTTTTTTCTTGCAGTAACAGCTATTTCTTTTTATTCACACCAATTATGAAAATGTTAGCCAAGTATGCAGTGTGAATGCATGTATTGTGACAAGCCAGTACTCCTAAAGGGTGTCAAGGTAGAAAAATAACCTAACAAGGAGGCTTCAGAGAAGTAGTCCTTTTGCATTACACACAGACTATTCTTTAACAGACATAGTGATTATTTTTTTGTTAAGATTATGATCTTTTTTCCCCCATGCTTTTTTTTTGTATTTAATAGAGATTTTACTAAATGCCTTCTAGGTGGCAAATGCCCAGAAGCAAAGATGCTAATTCAGGCGAGTTTCATCAGTCATTTCAAAAGAGAGGTCACACAGATAAGAGAAATGAACAGTACACAGTGTGTGAAGCAGTGACATTCAGTGAGCCCTTGTCACTAGCAGCCATTAGCATGGGGGCCTGCTGTTGCCTTTCGGTGCTTTATGTGCTTTTCTTGACCAGGCAGGGAGCCTTCAGAGCACTGCAGCACTTAGTAGCATGCAAGTTATTGTTTCTTTCTTGAATGCTTTATATTTTTAGTACCATTTAGATTTTTCCGTGCCCCCTTGTGCATCTAAATTTTAAAGAGAATCGAAGAATGCATAATTCATATCTGTCCCAGAGGTAATGGAATGACTCAATGATATCCGTGAAGGAGATGATTTTAAATTTCATGTCTTATGCAAGGGGTCATATTTATACAAAAAGTGCAAAATTGGTCTCAGGGATACCCAGATAATTATCCTTACAATAATGAGCATGGATTCCAGGGGGGAGTATCACAGGAAGCTTTAATGTCTTGTGTGTCACCATCCCTTATTATCACGGCGTTATGGTTGTCGTGATTGAAAACTGATCTCAGGCTATGACTTGTATTTTGACTAGGAATAACACTTCCAGGAGGTGTGAAGAGACAGGTTTGCTTTGATTCTCTTGAAGTATTCATGCAAGATGTGAAGCATTTGTTTACTGCTGAAATTCTTTTCTTCATTTAAAGAAAAACAATTGTTTATTGATGTTGGGCAGAACCCACCAATAGATGCTTTGTCACACAGCACAGTTCCATTAGACTATTTCTGCTCTCCTTTCCAAAAAGCCTAGAAGTGCCATGGCTAGAAATGATTGTCTAGTTCTGTGATATGCTATATGTTTGAAAATGCACTTTATGGTCTGTATTAAAGACAGTTCAAAGGGAATATAAATTGGTGCAGTATTCTCTCTTTCTTCTACTCCAGTTCCATATATGCATTGAATTTTTACCCTGAAACATATCTTTAACAGCAACTTACCACTTTGCATTTTATTTAACTTGGACTTTGCTATATTTGTGTAATTGTTATGATCTAGCTGCTCCTGTAGTGTAAAATGTTTAATATCCTCTAAACCAATTTTACTCTGACTTTTAGCATTGTATATCCAAGGAGAGAGCTGATTTTAATTGCTTTTCCTTTGGGAACTTCCTAGTTTTAACTTTACTTTCCAATTTTTGCAGGATTGGCCATGAGAATTTGTAGAGTTTGAAATTTGGAAGTTTGGAAATACTGTGATGGGGCCACTGAGAAGTTACCTTCCTGTGTACAGGTCTGTAAAATGTATTGTGTTCTGACTATTTGTCATGGTTTAGGAATGGTATTCTCCAGTTTAGTGTTCCCACTGAAACCACTCCAAGCTGTATGTTGCTCACTCCCCTGCTCTCTCCCTGCCTCATTCCCTCCTTCCCTCCTCCTTCCTCTCCTCTATGATGGAGTGGTGAGGAGAATGGGAGTCACAAAAGATAAAGATCACAAACTGAGATAAGAACAATTTACTAGAAACAGCAATGCAGTAAGAAAACGAACAGTAACAGCAACAATACTAATGATAGAGCGTGTAAGAGAAAGAAATCTTCTTGCTGACCCCATGGAAACCTCTGACAATGCACAGCCACTCCCTCTGCCATGCCACCCCAGTCCAGAAGCAAGCCCTTCCCCCTGTCCTTGGAAGATGACCTGAGGTGGTACAGGATAACCTCTAGGTCCTAGCCATTCCCCATCCTGGCCACTGCAAAAACTAACCTTGTCCTAGCTGGAACCAGGACAGTATTTCAGCATGTAGACCCCTATGCTGACTTGTTATTTTTTTTATCTTTAATGCCTGCAAGCCAAATCTAACTTTATGCTAGAGAAAATGTTGTGAAAAATTCATTTTGTTTCTCACCAGATGCTTAGGACATAACTCTATTCTGTTACTGTTGTACAGATGTGGAGTAACCCATTCGTTTTTCCTTCGAAATGAATGATTGCAGTTTATACAGTTGAACTGCAGAAAGGAATTGGACCTGTATGTCATTTTCTTCTCACTGCTCTGCCTTTCAGTATGTTTTGGAGCTGCATTACCCTAAAAGGCCCTGAAATCGATTGCTTCCATCCAGGTTGCTCATATGTGAGCAGCTGACCACGGTTACAGCTGTGGATATTTTCAGAAGCACACTTAGCAGACGATCAGCAGAATTACTGAGGCTTTTGGGTCAGGAGGAGCTCAGGTTCATGGAAAGCTTACAAAAATGGAAAAAAAAAGTTTATATTTAAGAGACTGTAAAAAGAGCATAATAATAATGGCCTGACTCCTGTAGTGTCAGCATGGCACGAAGTGGTGAGAAGCCTGTGGCTAATGCTATGTCCTTGTCAGCTGAAATGATAGTGTGGCCAGCAATCACTCTGATTTAGAGGGTAGAAAACACTCTCCTGCATTTCAATATGTTTTTCTATGCAGCTGTATAACAGAGAAAAATTGTATTTCTTACTGCTTTCACATCTAGTACTAAACAGCATTTTAATAGAAATCTGCCAAGAAAAACCTATGGGAATCAACTTTCCATCTAGGTGGTCCTACCCTGCTATCGGTCACACTTGGGGTCTGTAGGAATTGTATGCCCTAAATAATAGTTTTCAAAAATGTTCATTTTTGAATATACTGTATTTCATTTGCTTGGTTTACCTTGGCGTGCTTTGGGTGTTACTGTTTTCCATGTTGACTCTGTAGTCACATACTGTTTTATTAGTCTGTAGGAATTCTGCAGGGAAAGTAGCTTGTAAACCTTAAACAAAATCAGATGGATTTAGGAGATGAGAGGTATCCAAAACAACTTTTAATTCATTCTTGGAAATTATTATGATAATACCTTTTAAAGCCAACACAGCTCCAAGACACTTTAGAAACTCTTTGAACCTAGATGTAAACCTCACACAAGGGCACAGCTTCTGTAATGAGTGAAAGCCCTGCATCAGACTGGTTGAGATACTGCAGATACAAATCTGATAATGCTGCCTTGGGCCTGTGTTGAGTGAAAGCTCTGTGTTCAAAAATAAGTAGCTTTTCACTGTAATTGAACAACTGTTGAATGATCTGTGTCATCCTAAGGCTTTGACTGCACTGCTTCTTTCTTTAATGATGATACCCCTTCAGGCAAAATTTGTGGTTTTCTTAGACAGGGGGTGGGGAGAAAGAAGTGCAAAACACTGGAAGACATTTGGGTAAGGGAGAAATCTAGTTGCAGTTGGCATTTGCTAGTACTTTACTAGTAGTAACAGCAGCTTCATAAAATCTTCCTTTCCAGACCTGTCTATGATTGTTGTTTGAATCACGCCTCACCTAAGGCTTCCAAAGGTTACTGCTAAAATTGCCAAAACAAAGCGAGGTTGGGCCTGTGTCTTAATAATGTGATACAACTGCAATCAACAGCTGCCATGGGGAGAATTTTTAGGCAAGTCATTTGTCTAAAACACATTTTCAAAGTTTCCTTATTCAGCAATCTAGTTCTTGGAAATTTGTGATGTACATACAAGTTAGTATTGTGCCATTTAAAAAGAGGATAAATATGATACTCATTTGATATATGTACATGTTAGATGCATGTATATTAAGAAACATAAAGTAGTTGGGGAATGATGCGCTGTACCTTCATTAGAATGCAGAAGCAAAGGAAAACCAGTTAAATTAAAAGGCAAGACTGTTCTACGTAAAAGGACATAGGAAGTGTAATTTCCCCTTGGAAAGTATTGCCCCAAGGTGTTATCAAAAGGTAGTGCCAGAAATAGATATTAACAGTAATAGGAATGCCATCACAGATATATTTTTCATATTTTACCTTTATAAAGAAGTTACAACAGTGGTTACACAGCAGTGGCAGAAGGCTGAACTCACTGTTCCTCAGCCTGGGGTCTGGGTGAAGCTTTTTCTCCAGCTGTGTGGGTATCTCTTGTACCACTTCTCTGAAGCATCTGATGTTGATGTTGAATGGAAGCAGAACAGTGATCTAGCTAAATAATTAGTTTAATCTGGGTCAGCTATTTCCATTTATCCCATGTCTTTCACTGCAAATTTCAAAAAATGCAACTTTTTGTCATTTGTAAGTATCTCCTCCTCTTGTTTTCTTAATCTCTTGTTTATTTCCTGCATAAGATCCCTCAATTCATTCTCCAGAGAGACCTCTTTTTTCCTGAGATCTTTATTACTTGTTCTTGCTTTGTTGGAATTTTATTAATGTATTGCTTGAGTTTCTAAAGTTTTCTGTTGGGGTCACTAAATACCTCTTGGGGTGTCCTCAGATCTTTGCCCTTGACACTCCTGTGGTGAAACAAGTATGGTTTGGTTTTACAGGGAGCAGAGATAAACACAAGTTGTGAAAACAGTTCATGGCCAGTCACCACATGGGATGAGGAGGCTCTGACTCCTGGGGCTGGGCTCCTCTGCCCTGTCCTCCTATTACAACCTCCTGGGCCCACGGTCAGCATGGGCTGGCTCCTGGGGAACTTGCTGGGGGCAGCACTGCTCTGTTGTCTTGCTGCTTCTCAAGTGAAGAATTCACGACTGGCAAAACACAAATCTGTCAAAAAACACAGGATGGAAAGGGAGAAGGGAGAGGAATAGTCTAGGGAGGACACTTCTTACTGTAGCTGTAATCATGGCAGCTATACATACCTCTGATGTCCATACCGGGGCTGCACATAGACCTGCTGCTGCACTGGATAGAAACGCAGAAAGGCCAGAAAGGCCAAACTCTCTGTGCCACCAGGCTTTGCTCTGGGCTCAGAGCTGTCCCACCAGAGGCTCCAATGGAGGGTTGCAATGAGAATGCAGAGGGAGCTAGTGCACAAACCAGGACTGTGAAGGAGCACGGTTATCTTTGTGCATCTTATATGTAAATTACCTGGCTACAAAGAGACAGGAAGGAAAGGGGATCTTACTGCCTGGAAAAATGCCATGTGTGCATTTGATATATATTTCATACTTGAATTTGAATATTTGAATTATTGAAAAGATGGAAACAATAGTTTGGTAGCTGGAGAAAATCTGTAAGCTAGATGCTTGAAGGAAGATAAAATGGGAAGGTGGGGGAAGTGAAAGCTGCCATTGAGGCAGAATTGTATTTTATTAGAACAGGAATCCAAACAAGACTGTGATTTTGTAAAGACTGTGATTTTGTAAAGACTCTTGTGTCCAGATCCTGAGTCTTATGTGCAAACTAATTACAAACACAATGAGCTGGTGCAAGGACTTGAGCACAAGTCTTGTAAGGCATGACTCGGGGAGCTGGGGGTGTTTGAAAAAAAGGAAGCTTGGGGGAGACCTTATCACTCTCTACAACTGCCTGTAAGGAGGGTAAAGTGAGGTGGGAGTTTGTCTCTTCTCCCATATAGCAAGCAGTGGGGCGAGAGGAAAAATCCTCAAGTTGCACTAGGGAAGGTTTAAATTGGATATTAAGAAAAATTTCTTCATGGAAAGGATTAGAACAGCACTGGAACAGGCTGTCCAGGGAGGTAGAGGAGTGACCATTCCTGGAAGTGTCCAAAAACATGGGCATGTGGTACTTAGGGACATGGTGGGGAATGTGGCCATGCTGGGCTAACAGTTGGACTTGATGGTCTTGGAGGCCTTTTCCAACCTCAACAATTCAATGATTTTATATGTAATTGTTATTTTCATTTTTGAATAGTGGCTCAGAGTGTCTGTTACCATCCAGCTCTGATTTTTTGTTGCCCGCAGCGAGCCACAGAACAAGCTATTATGAGCAAATCTAGAATGGCAGTGTGCTCACCTGAGTAATAGCTGTGGCCAGAGGAACAGCAAGAGACTGAAATTCGTATGCATGCAGGGAAAGCAAACCAGCATCCAACCCAGACAGCAGATTAACTTTCTGCTGGATTTTATGTTTTGAGTTCTTTTCAAGGTATTTCTAGGAATGGTTGCAAGTACCTCCTCTGCTGGAGGAACAATGCAGAAACATCCTTAAATACTTCCCTGTTGTTTAATGATAGCTGCTTCCCAGAAGAATGGAAAACCAGTTGAGAGACTCCTGCAAACTAAGCAAAGTTTTCATAGGCTCAGATTAGGAGTAAGGGTCTTTACTTGCCTCACTGTGGTGCCATCATCTTCTGCTTCAAAGTGGCACTTTGATGATAATCTTTGCTGATCTTAATTCCTGAGGCAAAACATAAAAAGAAGGGATACCTTTACTGTCCGTGGTCAAGAACACCTTAGGGACACCAAAGGTAATTTGGCTCATTTGCCTTCACTACCAGCAAGAGTTGTCTAGATAATCA